GCATAAAACTTGCAACGCAGGGATGAGTTACTTTTTCTCAAAAATTGAACTTTCGTGTTATAGTTACAAGAGACTCGGTTTCCATTAAAATTAAAATAAACATCATAACAAAAATTTTGACAAATGCATAAAACTTGCAACGCAGGGATGAGTTACTTTTTCTCAAAAATTGAACTTTCGTGTTATAGTTACAAGAGACTCGGTTTCCATTAAAATTAAAATAAACATCATAACAAAAATTTTGACAAATGCATAAAACTTGCAACGCAGGGATGAGTTACTTTTTCTCAAAAATTGAACTTTCGTGTTATAGCAAGAGACTCGGTTTCCATTAAAATTAAGAATTTTGCACGAAATTTGAGTTCGTTCTTTTTCTCGAAGATTGTTACAATTACAAATGAGTGTGAACGAGTTGACAGAGGTCTCGAGTTTTTAAATTTAGCTTTTAAAATTAATACAATCACGATCTCTGGTAACAAGAATATTGACATAATGCGCGAAACTCGTTCCCAACGCAGATACTATAGCGATCGAGGTCAGTGCGCGAAATGCTATCTGGCGTGCAAAACGTGTTCCGGGCCCAGAAGGGATCAATGCGTGACCTGTCCCGGTGGTTGGCAACTAGCGGCGGGCGAGTGTCACCCGGAATGTCCCGAAGGATTCTTCAAGTCCAACTTCGGTTGCCAGAAGTGTCACCATTACTGTCGCACGTGCAAAGGTAGGAGGAATTAGAGAGCAGATATGAGTGCTGGACTCCATGCCTCGATGGAGTAAATATTGAACGAATAGTCATCTCCAGAGAGAATCCCTGGTCCAGATTCCATCCCTGAAACTCATCGATACGATTTATCTTTCGCTATCACTCGCCTTTCAAATTTCAATTTGTGTATATATAACTAACTCGTATTTATCATTTGAGACACATGTCATCCTTCATGGTATTAACCCTTTGCACTCTAGCAACAGCACTTTAATTCATTTACAAAAAGGATCTAAAAAGAGAATTATAATTAATAAAATATCGTGTAAAGTACTTTTGAGAGAAAAAGAAAAAACATTTTAAATTACCTTATTATCATATTATATTATTTTAAATTACCTTAGAAGCTGCTTGTATAAGTCTAGCTCGACATTTGAGCTGATGGAAGAAACGGTGAGGAGTCGACTAAGGGTTTCAATTTATTTTATTTTACAGGCGAGGGGCCGAAGGAATGCACCTCGTGTCCACCCCACTCGATGCTCGAGGACGGCCTGTGCAAAGAATGCCTCGGGGCGCAGTACTACGATTCTCTGACGCGGCTCTGCAAGAATTGCCACCCGGATTGTCGAAGGTGCACCGGCTCTGGGAAGTTCAGTTGCGCCGCTTGCTCGCCCCCGTTGCACCTGGATAAATTGAACAATCAGTGCGTGCCTTGTTGCACGGGCAACGAGAAGGGTGGCCAGGCCGAAGAGTGTTGCCTCTGCGACCCGGAAACCGGTGAGATTAATCATTCGTCCAACCAATCGTTGTCGATAATTTATCCAAAGTGGAATTATTTTTTTTTTTTCTTATAAACATCGATTCGATGAAATCCGATTTGTTCGACGAATTTTAAAGCTACTTTGAAAATTGAATCTTCGAAAAGAATTATGATTTGAATTTCAAAAATTCCTTTTTTGAACACGTGCCAGGTGGCTGCAGGAACAGCTCGCCGGCTGGCAAGAGAAGAGTGCCAGGGACGGAGTTCGCCTCGGCTGACACGGCCATCTCCGAGGTGTACACGAGCTACGAGGGGACAACGACCGATAAAAACGACTCGGTTTCGCTGGCGATAACGGCCACCACGACCATCGCCGTCGCCATTTGTCTCATATCTGTCGCCTTGTTCGCCACTATATTCATCGTGCTTCAGGTAACTGGTTTCGACCTATACATCAGAAATAATCAAATATTAAAACAATAATTCGAAAAATAATCCAAATTTTTGAAATTTGTAAAATTTCAAGAGAAAAAAAAAATTTTCCATAATTTTTCTTTCTTACGTGGAATTAATCGGTCGGTCAATATTTTCAGGCAATATCGGGAAGAAGGGAAAGGAAAAACAAGGGTTACACGCAGTTGTCCGTGAGGGTGGAACCTCCGGACGATGTTTACGCGGACGACACGCCAGAGCTGATGACCTAGACACTTGGCAAAGTTTAGCTACTAACCACCGGACCTAAACCATCGAAGTGTTCGACGACCACGAGACACGGTCTCGAAACCACAGATTAGACCCGATCGCGTGTTTCGCGTGCCGGTTGTTATTGGGAACGTGCGACGATCGGGATCGGGGACAACTAATAAGCCGCGCTTCAAG